GGCAATTCTATTAGAGATAGCGGGAGGCATTATGGTAACCATTATTGATCACCTTGTATTATGCTTTTACATTATCTATTATGTCCACCCTTTTGATTTGATTGACTCTGTTCTGTTAGGTCACATTTGGTTCTACTCCCTTCCAAAAAAGTAATAAGAACTGTGGGAGCAACAAAACCCAAAATGTGTAATTGTCATTGTACAAAAGAGAGGAAAAGAAAGTGCTCTAAACGATATAACTGCATGTATATTTAAGTGTATAAGATAGAAAATGATATCACTGAGTTTTAATGGATCATTGAACAGAACTGTTTGCAGTTCTGTTGGAATGTCCACTTTACAAGCTTTAATTCTGTGACTTGAACAATTATTTCTAAGATGACAATATATAATCCATTAACTAGTGATTTCCTACTGTTTATTTTTTTCTGTAAATCTGTATAACTTGTACCTTTTCTCTGCTTTTTTTTTCTCCTTAAATAAAATTTAAAAAAAAATACAAGTGTATGGGGCTGGGGATTTAGCTCAGCGGCATAAGCGCCTGCCTTGCAAGCAGGCGGTCGTGAGTTCGATCCCTGGTACCGATAAAAATGAAAAAGACAAAAAAAAAAAATACAAGTGTAGCCAGGGATTTAGCTCAGCAGCGTAAGCGTCTGGCTGGCAAGCACGAGGTCATGAGTTCAACACCTGGAACCAAAAAACATAAAAATAAAAATAAAATACAAATGTAAGAAGGTTGCTAGGCTAGAAATAGAGTATGTTTGCCAGGAACGTGGAAGACCTACCTGAGGCTAATGATCATATATGCAAAGAGACAGGCCATCTTAATCAGCTGTGTAGGTGCAGGAGGCAAGTATTGGGGGGCTAAATTTGACTAGGGTTTTGGTTTACCTGAGGAAACCCACCGGTGTGCAAGAGGGGCAGAACTGAGGGAGTACAGGAAGCTGATGACAGCGACACAGATCCTCCCCCGCTGAATGATGCCATCTACGTGATTGTTCAACTCACGAACTTTGGCCTCAAATTCCAAGTACTATTGATTGTATCTCCTAAATATCTCACCCTTTTGAAATCAGATTAAACCACTGTACTTTTTCTCCGTATCGATCTTACATCATTCCTCTCACTGCAGCCAGAAGTGATCTTTTAGAAAATATAAGGCTGATCATTTAGCCCCACTTCCAATCTTCCAGTGATTTCTCATTGCTCTTAATGTGAGTCCCACATAGGACTCACAAGACCTTGACCTGGAGACCTTGACTCTCCTTCCTCATCTTGGCTATTTTTCTTTTAATTTTTTCTTTCTTTCTTTTTTGTGGTTCCGGGGATCAAACTCACGACCTCACTATGCCACTGAGCTAAATCCCCGGCCCCTCATCTTGGCTTATATTTCCTTTCATATCCCATACGCCATCCCTGTTTTTGTCTTTTGATTCCTCCAGAGCAAAGATGTCCAGAATAGGGTGCAAACACCTCAGGGAGTACCCAAGATGATTCACTGGGAGGAAAAAATATTAAAACTTTTATTTGTCATATTTTTACATTTCTATGATTATAATACTTAAAATATGTATTTTGGTAATAAATGATGATAATTTTAAATAAATATATGTATATTAAAATAGTGCTCAAAAATATTTTATTGATGAGAGAAGCCAGTCGGAAAAGCTTAGAGGACCCTTATGCTCACATATCGGGGTCTTTCCAGTCTCCAGATCTTCACTCCCTCCCACTTCTGTTTTTAAAACCTCTGTTTATTGCTTCTCCCCTACTTTCCTCCTGCTAACTTTTGGTCAAGTTCTACGAAAATGTTAAAAAAAGAATTCTCTGACTTCCAAACTAGGGTTCTAGCACTCTGTTTCATGTGCCCATCACACCAGCACTGTCCCCCAAGCCCAGTGTGCTAGAAACCTCTCATCCAGCACTCCCGCTCCATCCTTCATCCCGCCTCCTGATGCAGACTACATGTCCTCCTAGTTCTGGGTTCTGGCTGACCTTGTTCTCCAGGGAGCCCTGGCGGGGATTCAGTGGAAGGAGAGAGCGGGCCTAATCTCTGTTCACACACCCTCTTACTGTAGGAGCCAAGTGTCTAGAGCAAATGTCTCAGATCCTTTCAAGGCAGCTTGCCCTGAACTGAGCAACACTCTGCTTCTAGGTTCTCATATCTGCTCCTGCCCTTTGTCCCCTTAGTCTTTGCCTGGCTTCATCTAGGTTTGTAATTTGAATTAGTTACTGATGCGTAATAAATAGAAGCTTTTGCATAAGTTGTCAAATGTCTGACTTCTCTTAAAAAATAAAAATCATAGCCAGGTACGGTGGTGCACACCTGTAATCCCAGCACTCAGGAGGCTGAGGTAGAAAGATCCCAAGTTGGAGTCCAGTTTGAACCTCATAGTGAGTTCAAGGTAAGCCTGAATTATACAGTGAGACCTTATCTCAAAAGTATAAAAGATAAATAAATATGAAAATGAGACTAGGTCCAGTGGTATAGTCATGTAATTCTAGCCCTTGGGAAGCAGAAGCAGGAGGACTGTGAATTTGAGTCATACCAAGGGAACCTAGTGAGACCTCAAAAAAAATAGTAAGATAAAAGGGCTGATGATGTAGTTAAGTAAATAGGTACCTAAATAAATCAAAATGAATCCAAAAATTGCCCTCAGGCCCAGATTTTTATAGTAATCTTCCATAGCTGCCACCGTTTGGAGTTGAGTAGCAGCTTCCCCTTCACGGCAGGGTAGGTTCACCTCAAGACTCCACAATCCCCACTGCACTCCCAGCTGCTTACAGAAGCCTGCTTTGCTGTTGCCACTTGATCTGAAGGCCATTTCAGTTTGCAAGTCCCGGCTTACAGAAGGTGTTACCCCTGAGCCGGGCGTGGTGGCTCATGCCTGTAATCCCAGCACTTGGGAGGCTGAGGCAAGAGGATCGTTTCAAGACCAGCTTGGGCTACAAAGTGAGCTCAAGGCCAGCCTGAACTGCATAGCGAGACCCTGTCTCAAAAAAAAAAAAAAAAGACAAAAACAAAACAGAAAAAACAAAGAAGGTGTTACCCAGCAGGTGAGACCTGCGTCAGACCCCTCATCTGCTTTGGGGTGGGGAACTTGACCTCTCAAATCCGCCTGCTTTTCCCTCTCTCTCTTGCCACCACCAAGGAGGTCCTGTCTGGATTGGGATAACCTCCGCCGACCCCATTGTCCTGCTCTCAGATTGGCTGTTTTTCCATGTCCCTGTGGGTTCCCTGTGCAGCCAGCCTGTTCTTTCTGCGGTGGGAGTCAGAGTCTATCTCTCTTAAGACCTTAGGTTTCCTCATCAGTATAGAGATAAAGGCTACATTTGCTAAAAATACCTCCAAAGCTCCGGACCCTGGTTGACTTGGGGTCAGTCTCCATCATTCTCCAGGCCTCCAGCCGAGCAGGCCTCTCAGCTTCTCGCACACATGCCACCCCCGTGGGTTTCTCCCCTCCCCTCCTGGTGGCAGTTTGAATGTGCTTTCCTAGGGAGGCCTTTTTATTCTTCATCTGTATTCTTTTCTTATGTATACTGCACATGTCATGAGGGTTTTTTCTTTTCAAAGTCTTTTTCTCTCATTGACTGTGAGAACGGTGTTTGTCTTTCTCACTGGTGAGTGCACAGTAAGTACTCACTGGACACGTGGTGAAAGTCGATTTGGAAACCAGGTTCTTCACAAAACAGCAGTTCTACTACTGAGCAACAATTTGGCATGCCTTCTATAATTATAGACATAGAGCATCTTCTGTGATTATACATGTATGTTGAAAGGCATGATTGTAATGCAGTTTCACACAAATGAAGCAATGAACACACCCAGAGCCCTGAGGTGGAGGAAGAACTTATTCTTACAACTCTCATTCCTGGTGCTGGAAGGGAATTCTTTGCTAAAAGTCATTGAAATGACAGGGAGGGAGGAGAAGGGAGGAGGAAGAGAAGAAGGGAACGCTGGGACTGTGCTAACACTGTGACAGCAGCCTGACTCCTGAATACTCATGATGTATAGACCTGGGCAAAGTTACTGCAGAGAAGAGGCAACAAAATGTGTGATTGGTTTTGGAATTGAGAGCTGAGTCTACAACAGGGGAACCAAAAAGGAAGGCTCTTCTACAGGAATTTTGTGAGATTAAAGGGTGGAATTCTTTATGCTAGCCCTTAAAATAGCAGCTCACCTAACAGGCTAAACAAAACCAGGAGCTTCCATCCAGATGAGGAATAGAAAAGACATGATCATCTCTTTGCTGGTGCTGATTGCCAGCTGACATTATCCAAGCTTCTGCTCTTTCTGTTCCTAGAAAGACACACACACACACACACACACACACACACACACGCACACACACACACACACACACGCACACACACACACACACACACACACATATGCTCTGCCTTACCATCTCTTGCTGTCAGTGCTGGGGATTGAACTAGAGGATTTGTCTGCACTAAACCAGCACTATACCACTGGGCCACATCCTCAATCTGCCTTTCTTTAATATGCCAATAACACAATAATGCTGAGATTTTGAAGGAGTATTTTCACACCAGTAACCACTGTGCCAAGTGTTATTCAAGGCAATTGTTTTGCAAGTAGGTCAAATAGGCTCACTGTAATCATATCCTGTTTACTTACCTGATAATTATTTTCTTATCTAATAGAAAGTCTGGCCTAGTTTGAGCCCAAAAAAAGTATGATGTTTTGTTATGGAGTCAAGATTCATTCATTTTCTAACAGCAATCACCTTCATTACACTATCTATCTATCTATCTATCTATCTATATATATATTTTTTTTTTAAAGATTTCAAGTATTTATTACTGACCCACTAGGGATGTTCACAGAAAAAGAATAAGACTACGTATATTCAGCTGTCCAGGTGATGTTATTTTTTAAGCTTGACACAATAAGCTTGACCATGATAAAAAAAAAAAAAAGGTATCATCTTGTGATCTCCGGGAGCATAAGTATGCTGCAGCTCATGTGTAGTTCCTTACAGTCCCAGCTGGGTCCTCCTCCAGTCTCTCCTCTTGGAGTTGTACTTGATTTTATTAGCAGTCTTCAGCCAAATGCACTGAGGAATGGAGAGATTCTGCTTTTACTTCTTGAGCAGCAATCACTTGATTCTGAAAGTGTTGTGAAAAGATATGGTTAGGCCCCAAAGCAAGAGCAAGAGTATATTTATTATAGAAAAATGAAAAAGTATTAATAAGCAAAACAAAACTTAAAAGAAAGCCATGTGTTTCCCCAGTTAGAGAGTAACTCTTGTAAACATGCTGATGTATATGTGAAAAATTCTGTCAGGTTTTTTCTATGTATATTGGGTTTTTTTCACTTGCATATTTACCATCTTTTCATACCAATGAATGAAGACCTACATTGTTTTTTTTGGTGTGCCATTATACTGACTTCAGCCATCTTTTGTTGACAACTTAAGCCATCCCCAGTATCAAAGAAATCTTTTGACACATGCATCTTTTATGTATCAGATTGTTTCTTCAGAATTAATTGCTACATTGGAATAAATGAGTGCCTTAAAGGATGTGGCCATCTTTTAGTGTTTAATACATGATACCAAAGTACAGTCCAGAACTACTGTAGTCATCAATACTCCCACTGGCTGCAGTGGGAGTATTAATGAGTCCTCTCGTCTCCACTAACACTATGGCACAGATGAACTCCTCTGCCATCTGTGTTGCATGTCAGGCACTGACAAAGTTAAATGAGACACAGTCTGTGCAGTCCAGATAAAGGAAAGGCCTCAGGTGTGAGTGACTTTTGTATCAGGAAACAACAAACTGTTCCCAATAGTTGGACTAAAGGATACATAGGAAGTTAGGTACGGAAGGTGGGAATTATGGGCAGTGAAGCTAAAGAGATAGGTCAGGTCTGATCAAGAAGGGCTCTCTGAGCTAAACAAAGAAACTTGGACTTTATTTGAAAACTCGGGTAAAGATAACAATTGAAAACTCCTTCGGGAGGCAGGAGTTGGTACCAAGATCCACACGGATCCAAGGAAAGAGCGCTGGTATTCAGCTTGAGAATCGTCTTGCCATTCCCACTGACAGGCTCTGTGGACTTGGGAACCACCACTAAACCTCTTTATCTGGTAAAATAAAGGAGCATAGTTCTCGCAACAGTCATATGTGTTGGTTATCAGGATCCTGTTTTACATAGAAGTCTGACATCCATATATTTCAGCTGAACCTAAAATTGACTAGGTTGTCAGGCTCTAAAGCCTGAACCCTCTTCTAATGCTAAATATATATAAACTCTATCCCATCTTTTGACTTTTTTTTCCTTTCAGAAAAAGTTGCCATTAAGATCCTGGACAAGACTAAGTTAGATCAGAAAACCCAAAGGCTCCTATCCCGTGAGATCTCCAGCATGGAAAAACTTCACCATCCCAACATTATCCGCCTTTATGAAGTCGTGGAGACCCTATCCAAGCTCCACTTGGTGATGGAGTATGCAGGGGGCGGGGAGCTCTTCGGGAAAATTAGCACTGAAGGGAAGCTCTCAGAACCAGAAAGCAAGCTCATCTTCTCCCAGATTGTGTCGGCTGTGAAGCACATGGTGAGCAGGGGTGAGGAATGAGTCTTACTGCCATTCCATTCACTTTGGGAACATGGGGCACTGATTTGCCACCATATAAGGATCCACAGAGTTTTGGTTCCTTGGAAGCAGATGGTAGTCCATTGGTCTGAAGTCTGGCTGGGGTGATGTTCTTTGCCTCTGAAGCAAGATCCACACATCTCCAGTTACATGGGAGCTTCCTGGATTGTCTAGAAGTTGCCAGGGATCACTTAGAGCAGCCAGAGGAGTACCATCTACTCCCTGGCCACACTGTTTCTCTACCCTGTGTTAGCTACTTCAGGTAGTTGGCTTCTCACTGTTTCTTAGGCTTGCCTTCCTAATCCCTGTAGGATGGTCTTTCCCCTTGTAACAAATCCTATTTGCACTTCATAATTAGCTCAGTTCTGTCTGTCTGTTGCTCTCTCTCTCTCTTCAGTCTTGTGTTAGCTCACACTGAACTTTCTTGTCTTCAGTGAGGTTTCCTAACTTACTGCCTCTGGGCTCTGTACTTTAGCACTTGATTATATCATTCCTATTGTAGTTCGCTGATTATTTCTTTAGATAAACCTGGGTTTCTAATGCACAATCCCTAGTTTCTCCATGAGCTAGTCCTTTTGTGCCCTCTCTATTATCAGCACAGAGGAGGCATTTGACTTGTTCCTACTACTGCTAACTTGGTGAGAGAGTGGAAGAGAATTAGCAGTAGAGAATACAGATTGAGTCCTCAGATACCCTAAATTCCGCCATGTCTCTCTCTGCCAGTAATCTGGTCTCCAAAGAGAGGAAAGGTTAATCATAGACATAAATTCAAACTGTGTTTGGTTTACTTATGTGCCAGGACCATGCTGGTCACTGTTGATACCAAATCCCGTACAGTTCTCACAACACTGAGTTATCAGGATCTCATTTTACAAAGAATGAGACTCACATTCAAATATTGTAGCTGGTAGAGTTGAACCTGAAGTTGACCAAGCTGTCAGGTTTCAAAGTCTGAATTCTTATCCCAAAAGATCCATTAAGAAAAGTAACATTAACCTGTTTCCCAATGTCCCGTGGGACTTAACAGGTCTAGGGTTCTGAGAAGGCTGTCTGGATCAAGTGGAGGGGTAGGAGGAGGCATGTGCTCCCAGCCCAGTGGGACCCACTGCTGAAAATTTGCCAAATGCAGCCTCCTCCCTTCCACTGAATTGTATAAAGATGAAAGAATCCACCCAAAGGAGAATCCACCCAAAGGGGAGTGGCTGGAAGACTGGGGGAGGGCTCCAATCCCTCCTATTCCCGATTCCAGTCAATAGATTACTCAGAAAAGCCCAGATAAAACCTCGACAACTAAGGGTTACTATATGGGCTTCAGAATGTATAGTTGTTTTAAGACTCAGATCTTATTTCTGGCACTAATTCCTGAGCCCAAAAGTGTGGAACAGGCTCCAAAAACTCTCTCCACAGAAGAATCAAACCTTTGCTTTGTGTGTGTGTGGGGGGGGACATTACATTGCTAAAAGGTGATGACAAGATTTCTTAACTGATTTAAGTTGGTCTCTAATGAGTTTCCATTTCACGACTATCAACTCACTGTTTTAGAACAGTTGATACATTTTATTTTTTATTTTTTTAAAGTGAAAAAAATACAGAATTTCAAAGCAAAATAATAGGAGTAACAATAATTAATACATTGCATATTGTTATCTTCAAAGTGGTTACTAAGACTGTAATATGAAATATTGTTCAAAGAATATTAGATCAAACCTTTCTTTTCAATAAACTAAGAGCAACTGGCAATTTATGTAACTATCTTAAACTATCATGTGTGTGTGTCCTTCCATTTCCCTTTCCAACTGATGCATTTTATGTTTGGCATTTTACTTTAAACTGATTTTCCCCCCTCTTCTTCCACAGCATGAAAACCAAATTATTCACAGGGATCTGAAAGCAGAAAATGTGTTCTATACCAGTAGTACTTGTGTGAAGGTGGGCGATTTTGGATTCAGCACAGTGAGTAAAAAGGGTGAAATGCTGAACACCTTCTGTGGGTCTCCTCCCTATGCTGCTCCCGAACTGTTCCGAGATGAACACTATGTTGGCGTTTATGTGGACATCTGGGCCTTGGGGGTGCTTTTGTACTTCATGGTGACTGGCACGATGCCCTTTCGGGCAGAGACTGTGGCCAAACTAAAGAAGAGCATCCTCGAGGGCACCTACAGCATGCCCCCATATGTGTCAGAGCCCTGCCACCGGCTCATCCGGGGAGTTCTTCAGCCTGTACCCACGGAGAGGTACGGGATCAACTACATCATGAACAATGAATGGATGCAAGGGGTGCCGTATCCCACCCCCTTGGAGCCTTTCCAGCTGGATCCCAAGCATCTATCAGAAACCAGCACCCTCAAAGAAGAAGAAAATGAGGTGAAAAGCACTTTAGAACATCTGGGTATTACAGAAGAGCATATTCGAAATAACCAAGGGAAAGATGCTCGAAGCTCAATTACTGGGGTCTATAGAATCATTTTACATAGAGTGCAAAGGAAGAAGGCTTTGGAAAGTGTCCCAGTAATGATATTACCAGACCCAAAAGAAAGAAACCTAAAGAAAGGGTCTCGCGTCTACAAAGGCATAAGACACACATCTAAATTTTGTTCAATTTTATAAATTATGTCAGACTGTGATACTTAACCAAGATCATCATTGCTGCTTTTAAATTTTTTCATGGACAACTTGAGTGGAGACATTTTTGTAATTTTAAATAAATTTAAATTTGGGATATACATTTTTCTCTAAAAGTCTGTTAGTCCACATTTTGGCTTGATTTGTGTTCTTGTCTTATTATCAAACTCCAGCATTCATTCATTTAGTGAAGAAATATTTAATGCCTACTATGTGCCAGGTTCTCTTTAAGGTACTGAGGAAATCACAAAGAATGACAGGCCGAGGGGCTGGAGATTTAGCTCAGCGGCATAAGCGCCTGCCTTGGAAGCAGGCAGTCGTGAGTTCGATCCCCAGTATTGATAAAAAAGAAAAAGACAAAAAAAAAAAAAAAAAAAAAAAAAAAAAGAATGACAGGCTGATGTGTTTCAGCACAGAACAAAGACGGTAACTACCGTCTCGCTGTACACATGATATCCTAGTATAGGATGTGTGTGATATTAATTCACATATCGTAATCTGATATTAGAAGCTTGCTCCCTTGGCTTGCATCTTTAAAGAAGCCCACTTTGTGTAGATGAGACTGTAAGAGTTGAAGAAGTGGAAGTGACTTTTGAAAAAATGCCACAAGCTTTCTAGAAGTTTCAGACAGAGTTCTCTTAAATCAGAGCCCAAGACAAAGGCTTCCACGTACAGCAGTTTATTAGGGAAGTGAGCTCAGAGCACAGGCTGAGGAATGAGGGGAACAGTGTATTTCCGAGTTGGCCAGTAGTACGGGGACTGCTGTTCAGTCCTGCATGGACATCTGAGAAGCCTCCTGCAGCAGATCTCAGTTGACTTCCTAGAGTATGAAGGGGAAAGCATTTAACCATCAGCCATCTGTTGGTTAAAGGTGACTGACAGTGCCACTTGCATTATGTCCCAAGGTTATGCTGCATAAGTGCTGAGGTTCCTGTGCATACCCTGCCTTTGTGCCCAAGAAGTCTTGGAGCAGGATGTGGTACACAGCATGATTTTGCGACGAGGTGTGGTGTAACAGGACCTGCATGAAACTTGCATGGAAATGGTCACCGCATCAGTGGCTAGAGAAAACACGGCAGGAGGACCTAAAGTGAATGCTGGCTGACAGAGGACACTCCTGTCCCATGCTCCACTAGGTTTACCCTCTGTTAAAGCATATTGGGGTGGTGAGGGGAGTGGGGGGGGGGGACTCCGGAAAGTCTAAACGCAGTAGGTTAGGGAAAGGTGCTGGGGCCCAGAAAGCCCTAGTGTACAGAATTATCTGGAGAGCCTGTTAAATCACAGAGTAAAGTTTTTATTCAGTAGCTCTGGGGCATGAGCAAGACTTAGTATTGTAATACATTCTTAGATAATCCCAATGCTGCGGGTTGGGGGCCAGGCTTTGAAACCCACCGAGCTTCAGTCATCACTGAAGCTGGGGTCTGAGGCTATACTTGGACACTTACCTCATTCC